CAGAATCGGTGATGGGCCACACACATCATCACAACTTTCTAGATTTCCTTTTACGAACGTCTATCAACTTTCCTTTACTTTTATCATCCTCCTAGTAAGTCTATCGCTACACGACGTATTTTACATTCCGTGTCACCTGCTTCAATCACGTCCATATCGTCAACAAAACAGAAACATTGGGCTGTCACTAGTTGTGACTCTAACACCAAAAGACACTCAAATCCATAGCCCATTGCTTCCATCACTGTGATTAACACCGAGCTCACCGAGATCCAAATGGGGGGTCCGGCACCATTTCCTTGCCCACAACCTTGGAATGGCACCGCTGACGGAGGGCGAAAGCTTCTCTTGGAGTCACCAAAACCTGTGCGAACACGGTGGGTAGTGGAGGAGAGCATGTTGAACATCGATGATAGGACACGCCATGTCAAGCCAAACCGCAACATTGTGACAATGGCCACCCAGTGGACAACACGGTCAAAGCAGGACTTGGCATTGTTCGAGATCCACCCCACTGCGCGGCGTTGAAGGATCAGTAGATCCCACACTAATTGTTTAGACAAGGCCAGGTCAATTGCTTGATGACGTTTGCGTGAGCTGCATTGCCCGTCGGGTATCAAGGAGTGCGCTTCGGCAAAGTGCATGGCTGCACGGCCTGCCTTCTTATTGTTTGCCTGGGCCTCGGAATTCATCAGCTGGATGGTGCGCATTTTAGATAGGCAAAAGTCTCGGGCTTCTTTTCAATGGCAAAGTTCATCAGGTTTTGCCATTGAAGAGGAACAAAGCCTGTGGTGAGAGGAATGTTCCGGAAGAGGGCATCACAGTACGCTATAGATGGAGACTGGATAGCCGCCTTAAAGTGTCCATTATGCAGTCCATGAGGTTCGGATCCTTTATTCTCAGTGTTCCGCGACCAAAAGTACATGTGATCGTCCTTGGAGACTTGCAAGTGGACTGGAGAGTGCCCTTTGTGAAACCGGCAGTGAGATAAGAAAGAAGCCGTAGCTGGGTCCAACAGATCAGGTAATGTGTAACGGCCTTCTAACAATGCC